GATTTAATTACAAACTTCACTTTTTGTGGAGTTGTCCCAGTTTTAAATGTGTCTTAAAATGGCGTTTTAACTTATTATTGCTTATAAAATACACGTATTGCAAGAGCATGTCTCCATATAGAATTTTCCTGTTATTTAGCATTGTGATGTCGCTTGTCTCCCTAACGAAAAATACGGCAAAACACTTTTTTGGCAGCAAAAGCATCTGTGGTTTGTGCACGAACTTGACATTTTGAAAATATGTTCTCAGTATGACTTTCTCTCTTCACCCTTCACCCTGTCTGTCCTCAAAAGCACTTTATAATCTGTGGCTTTTTCTCCAAACTTGAACATATCCAGGTGGCGGATGTAAGCAGCTCTCCGATTGGTTGAGAGAGCCTTGATGCAGGGTTCTGAACGACCGTGAACAATGGTCAATATTTGTGTGCATAATAATAATGCATAATATTGTACCATTAAAACTTAAAAGAATATGAAATAATAATCTATATTTACATTCAATTCAATTAAAGGTATTCTTGTATAGCCCTAAATCACAGTAAATCCCAGTTATCCCAGAGGACTTAACAAAACCGTAGAATTCACCAACACAGATCAGAGAATCAACAGTTCAAACACATTGGTCCATAGAGAGAGAACAATGTCCGTGAATGTTGATAAATGTTGTAGGATGTTAAAGTGTCCTGGATCATCACCACAGTCCTTCTTGTTTTACACTAACTGTCTAACAGACCCTCCTGCATCGGCAAGGGAAAACTCTAAAAGCCAGTGGGAGAAAAGTGAGAAACCTCGGGGAGAACCACATTGAGAGAGAGATCCAGGACCTAAGCTACAGAACGAGGACCAAGGCCACTCGGCTCTGGACTCAGCTGGGCCAAAGATGTGACAGAGGCCAAAAATATATGCATGAGAAAAAACTAGACACTGTTTTGTTGTGAGAGCAAAGAACTATATTTCAAATTATTCGATTACTAATTTTAGCATTTTAATACTATTGTCAGCAACTCTTAGAATTATCTATTGATTTGTTTTGTTTGAATGGATGGATGTGTTTCTGCCGCAACTGGACATCTGAATTTCTCCTACGAGGGATCAATAAAGTATCTATCTATCTTTTGCAATTTGAAAGTTAGGTACCCCAGCTTTAACATTTAAGTGGGTGTGATAGAATGATTTTCATACCTTTCTACGTCCTTTCATTTTGAAGCCGCATGACATTTCTCCAAACCTGCTCACCTGTTCACACATGTCCGGGTATGGGGCTGAGATTGGGCCCTGTGAAGCGGGCTCTTGTGTGTGTAATCTCTGTCTCACTGGGAGAGGCGTCTCTGCTGTGAGAGGAGCATTCCCGGGAGAAAGGCATGCTGGGTAATATCACGCTCCCCAGGGGAAGTGGACATACGCAGTCACCACACGCTCAGAGCTCCACAGGCCACATATGGCCCCAGAGCCACGGGCGGCACGCAGTCATGAACACACACAGACAGGGGGCGCTATGAGCAAATGTACACATGCTGCCGTCTCATAGTGGCCTGTGGAGAGAGATCTGAGTGCTCCAGCTGGACACGGAAGGAGTAGAAAGTTGTAGAGAAGAAAGAAAAAGCTCCAAGTTAGAGTCAGATACAACATGTCTTATTGTGGCCATACTTGCATGCGAACTTGCAAACTGCTGTTGTGTCCTTAGGCAAGACACTTCATCCACATTGCCTAGAATGAGTCTGGCGTGTGTGTGAATAGTTGGTCATGGTTGGAGGGGCAGATGGTACATACTAACCAGTGTGCCTTGCTTCTGTCAGTTTGCCCCAGGGCAGCTGTGGCTACAGTAGTTTACCACCACCGTGTGACATGTGAAGCGTCTTTGAGTGTCCTGAAAAGTGCTATAAAAAACCAATGCATTATTATTGTTATTATTATTATTATTAAGTAAGTGAGTAAATAAATAAGTAAAGTTTATTTGTATAGTGCCTTTCACAGACCAGGATCAAAAAGCGCTTCACATTTAAAACATACAGATATAATAATAAATAATTATTAGTATTGAGTCACAACATTGACTTATGAATGGATGTTTTGATTTGATTATAATGTTTCAGACGACACCGATTAGGCTTGGATTATGATGTCAAGACTTTTCACTGGCTGATATTAACCCATGAGATTTTAAACTTTTACCCATACATGTTGTGCTGTTTTTACTAACAGAATAACCAGCTGTTAAAAACAGTGGTCCCTTTTGGATCCATGATTTGAGGAAAGAAGCATACTTTTTCATCTCCCCTGTTCATATCAGGTTTCAGCAGATATTGAAAGTCAAAGTATTGTAATCGTATCGGACATGAAACATTTGGATCAGTGCACCCCTTCTGGAAGAGCTCATGAAAGCAAAAGGATCTTCTTAAAGGTTTTAATCATGTTTCCTCATCAAAAGCATCCTGTTGTTGTTTTTGTGTTCCATTCACGCTAATATCCGAACATTCTGACTCAAATAAGCACAAAAACAACCTCCTGTCCCTCTTGTCCGAGTGCTCTTTCTTTCAAACTATCCTCAGATTAGGACTTCCAGGAAAAAGCTGTTTTCTGCCTTTTAAAACTTCCAGCCTCCAGTTAAGTTACATTGCGCCTTGTTTATTGTAACACAAGCACAAAGAAATACATCTGTTCTTTAACCACTACATTCACATTTTCTGCTGTGAGAGGAGCATTCCCGGGAGAAAGGCATGCTGGGTAATATCACATTTATTAACACAGTATGGCTAATTTCATTCCTTGGCTGAGTCCTGGTGAGCACGGACCTGTTTAATGTAACTCTCTGGAAGATTCACAGCTTAAACAAGAAAATGAATACTCTCTGGACATTTTCAAATCTCATCTCCAAATTTACCTTTTTAATCTGGCTTATTCTTTGTTATTTATGAAATGTATTGTGTTGTCTTTTTATATTTTGCAAGGTGTTTCATGAAATAAAATGTATAACTATTTTTCATTATTATTGAATACTAAGATTTCTGATCCACAAAATGTTAACCTCATTATTTAATGTCTTCACACACTTGTCGCATCAGTTGCCTGGCTAGAAACTGTTTCACCTAACACCAATTACATTGCGGTTTCGATAATTATACAACTTTATGAATCTTTTGTTCTAAATGTAATCCAACTTGTGTTTGTTTATTTGGACAGATAATAGGTTGAACTTTTCCAGTTTTTTAAATTTGAATTATATTATGAATAGAACCAGTTATTACAGAGATGTGATTAAAAACAAGGATAAAAACATTAAAAACCGTCAACTGTATACTGTATATGGCTTCTTGATTCTGAACTTGGAAAATGTTAATTAATAGTATAAGTGTGTTTCTTTCCCACAAACTTCCAAGCCGCCACTCGATTAAGCCGAGAGGTTGTCAGACTGGATCCCGCTCAAAACCTTTAAAAAAACATCCTCCTCCAACTGTTTACATGATCCCAATTAATGCCTGGCTCAGGGCTCCGACTCGCCTGACACTTCCCCTTTAATAGATTTTGTGAAATAAAGTAAAAAACTCTCCAGCAGTGACACCTCCCCTCCCACCGATGCCTACTCCGCTCAAACACAGCAGTACAAAACACACGGGGACGATCTTTAATTTCATATTTACTTGTAGTCGTAGTAGAGCTGGCACTGTGTACACTTCATGGATGAAAGAGAGGGAGGTGGCTCGGGGGGAGACGGAAGCAGCCTGGATGGTTTCCCGCCCTGTGTGGATGATCTATAGACGGATGGTTTTGGGAAAAGTCTTTGATCCGAGGATGCATATAAAAGAGAAATGCGTCTTTGACATGAATGTTGTGCAAAGAAGAACGTGTTTTTATGACTAGGATTCCCCGAATTGTATGAAACTGCTAGAACTCCCTGAGCTATGGTTTTGACTGCTCCCATTCAAAGCGATGGAATTCCGAGAAATCTACCAACAAACTGTTTGTTGAAAGGTTAAAGCTAAAGACCAAATGCTAACTGCTGGAAAGTAAACAGTTTATTTCAAAAATAACAGATAATTTCATATTCAGCTCTGGGAGTCCTAGTGTTAATGGGAAAGAGCTGCATCGATTGGCAAAGAACAAAATCAAAAACACACTTTGTCCCATTAGAACAAGAAGGTTGACTGTTGAATGAAGTTGTTATACCATATTTTCATGTTTTGGTACACTTAAATTAAATTAAATTAAAATAATTTAACTTACTATAAAGTCGAACAATTAAAGCTGGGTTACCTAACTTTTTACATACATTATTTTATTTGTTCCAACATAAAAAGTGTTGTAAAAGTACAAAAGAACCAAATCCGTTGTATGTACCGGTTAGACCTCTTTTTGTATACTTGTTGTAACTACCTTTATAAAACGTAAATTACCCTCACCACAAAGTAAAAACAAAGTAAAAAGCTGGGGTGTTTAACTTTTTTGTCATGAAAAATACATGTATACAGTTCATACAGTTAAATTGATGTGAACAAATGACACTACAACTTGCTGTCTTCTAGATATAATGTATTCAGCATACTAAGAAAAGCTGATAAAGATACAAAAATACATACTTGTGAAAATTAGTGGACACGGACTTGAAATTTTTACTATGCATTTTTTTTTTTTGTGGTTGGAAAGTTAGGGATCCCAGCCACTACTTATCCTTGTAACTCTAGGAACTAGATAACCTCTGTAAGTAGAAACTTGAGCAGACTTCTGCCTAGAGGCTCAGTTCCATTCAGACACTGGTTTCAATCATGTCCAATTCCCAGTTTCCCCATAGCACTGAGTAAAACAAACTTATGTTCAGTGCATGAGCAGATTTTGGTGCATTTTAAAACATAAACTTTGTCACAGGTCAACAGGAAACACATTCATGCGACTCTATTAGCCTGAATAAAATGTGTCACTTTTGCAGCTGATATAATTAAAGCTGAAATTGTTTTTTTGCTTTTGCATTTTCCTCATCCCAAACTTGTGTCTTGTGTGTGTTGCAGAGCATCGGCAAAGGCTCGCTGTGGTCCATAGACCCGGAATACAGACACAACCTGATCCAGGCCCTGAAGAAGACCCCCTATCACCCATACCCCCCCAGCCTGGCCACGCCCTCCACGTCACCACCCACACTGCCCCCACAGACATTTCACAGCAGGTAAGCTCTTCTACACACACCCAACTACAGTGTGGTATATTTATGCAGCGATGGGAACTTCTGGATGTCTACTGTTTTTGGAAAAGAACTAACCAGAACTGCTCAGAAGTAATAAGGGCTGGTTGTGATTTTTCTTTTTTTTTGTATTTTGACACATTAATTATATTTCATGTACGTTGAATAATGTAATGTACAAGATGAAAACAAAAATTAAATGAACGAATGAAATGAAAATATATTATGTTCTAGTAGGCTTGGATTCATTCACAACTGGACCCAATATCAAAAAATAGGTATTTGAAGATTCATAGCTAAATATAAAAAGTACATTTTTTTATTTAACTTCTAATTACATGTTAATTAATATTTTAGAACAGGTGAAATCCTGTGGATGTTCTCATAAAAAAGAAAGCTTTAAATGAAGTATAACATGTCATAGTATCCCATTACCACCGATGCCTGCTGTACATAGCCCTCCTTTGCGTTGAGCCATTACAGCCCATGACAAGTGATGGGCGAATACAAGAGCGCTGGACACATCTATTTCTTTTATATAACAACTCCATCTCCACCGCTGCTTTATCCAGGCTCGTGAAGGACAATTGCACTGCTTTTGATCTGATTCCAAGTAATGACAAGTATTGTGTAATGGATCTGATGCCAACGGGCTTTTGTATTAAAAAGCATTAAAAGTCCTCTGCGACTTAAGAAGCTGACCTCGGCACGAAGACTATATTTTGGCCAATTTAAAAGTAAAATCGGATAAAAACAGTAATTCTCTTGAAAATGCTCAATATCTTTGGATTGATCTGCCCATTCATGAATCCAGGCATCAAGAGAATACTTTGTAATGTTGCCATGGTGGACAAAACAGCCTTAAGTCAATATCGTCTGTTTTCCTTCCCCATGCAAGCTTCACATTTCACAGATATGATGAAAGTCAAGCCTCTGTCCTGTTTATATTGATTTTGGTTTTATTTGAACACAACTGAACTCAGCGCTCCGCCGTAGTGACAAAGCAAAGTCAGCTGTTGTGTTGTCAGCGACTTCGACCCAGAAGAGGTGTGCACTTTTACAATACGGTATGAAGAAGTTATCCATCGTTCAAGCATCCAAGATAAAGCTCAGCGTATTTGCTATTGCCGCTAAAAAAAATCACATTGGAGTACTTTTGCAAAAATATTATGTACAGTAGATAAAACACTGTCAAAAGCGCAAATATAATATCAAAACACACACACAATGAATATTTAACAGTGTGAAACGACAACGGCGAGATGTCTTGCGATATCTTCTGCTGGAGGGAAGAAGCTGGAACATGGATTGTCCTGGGGAAATCATTGATAATTGGCAGATATTGACAAAGAATGACCAGAACAGATAGTTTTCACAGAGTAGACCAAATTGTTTTGTTCTCTCTTTTTTCTGGCTGTGATGTTACCAACCCTTGGAGAAAGATTCTGGACTCAGGACTTGATTGCCTTTAAAACTGCTAAAACGTATTCCATAATAGAGATACTCACCGTAATTACGCCGAACCAAAAAAGTGTATGTTCCTGAATCTAGAACTACTTTAAAATCAATGTGTGTGTCTGTGTGTGGAGCTACGGGTTAAGAAATTCGTTTTAAACTTTTTCAAAATCTGATTGCATTTGGGAACCTGATTTTTAGAAAAGTCCTGAAGAAGTTTGAGGAGGAAAGACAGTGATGGGAGAGAGGTGTATGGTCAGAGAGTGTTTGAGCCTGTGTTTGTCTTTGAAAGTGTGTGTGGTGTGTGTGTGCGCGTGTATTTGAGTGTGGTCTGCTGTGTTGCTTTTGTATCGTTCTTTTCTGACACATTTTTTTGTTCCAAACCGTCCTGGGTGAGTGGAGTAGGAAGTTTTTGAGCGTTTGCCTCACCCAACCCATTTTCAAAACTTGGATTCTGTAAAATTGGGTTGAACAGGTTTGGAAGCAATGTAAAGTAATCCTGATTGATTGATTGCTTAATAATAATAACTATAATATAATAATGATAAAATATGTTATTTATTTTGCACATCACATTTCCAGGAAACCTCAAAGTGATACAGATTAAAATACAATGCAACAACCAAACATCAGAAGTCCGTAAAATGTCAAAGAAGAAATATCAAGGGGTTAAAAGCTCATGAAATCCCTAATAGGCCTGCTTATTAAGGTAGATTTTTGGGCCTCTAAAAGCCTTGTCTAATTTCTATTCTTCATATTTGTTTTGACTTTGCTGTGTTGATTTACAGTAAGGCTAAAGTGACACCACCCGCCGACCTTCCTGTCAATACAGTGCATCAACCACTTTAGTTCCCATTGATTCTTTAAGCTGGTTCGATTATAAACACATTATAGCTCGATAGATTTTGTTCCAACACAATGCACCTTCAATCACAATGTTTTTTCTCATCAACTAATCAGACTCATATCAAAGGACTATTCGTGGTCCTCCTCAGCGGCCAGGAACCGCTTGTTGGAACGCACATGTTTCTCGTACTCTCTGTCGAGATGGAGAATACCTGCACAATGTGTGGTCCAAATACAGAGGCAGCAGCAGGAGCGGAGCCGACACATATTTTAGCTGTTCAAAAAAGGTCAACCTTTCCGTTTAATTTTACGCTACATATAACATATTTCCCCTGCCTTGCCTGCGCCCTCGGTCTGCAGTTTACCGTGAACAAACTAACAAGTAGAACCGGCAAAGTCTTATAATATAGAAACTTGTTAAATGTCATCGTGCAACGTCACATACAAGTATTTTAAATGCTAGATTGAGCTCAGGGTTTGATACAGGCCTGTAGCTAAAGAGTAAACAAGTTTTTTCAAACAGTAGAACAGTCTGAAAAGGTTTCCTCACGGATAATAAAGTTATTTGAATTATCAATTGACTTGATAAGGCTTTTCATATCATTTTAGCCTGGATAGTAAAAATGTAATCATAACTAAAACTCATTTATATACACTAGAATATTGTTCAAAAGTTGATATATTTCTGTAATTCAGCTTGCAATAGGACAGTAATGATCCAGGATATTTAAGGATGATCTATGGACGATTGATGGAGTGTTAAAATTAGGGATGTACCGAATCCAGATTTTTGGGGTTCGGTCCAATACCGAATCCACTGCTTAAGATTATGCCGAATCCGAAACCGAATACCGAATCCTATTCCATCCTCAGTCCGTTAATGTTTCATACACAAATGTTTCATACCCAAATGTTGTAACAGCGGCGATGTTGTGTACTGTGTAGGGTCCTTACCACCACGAGACAAATCGGCATTGCAAATTGGACATGTAGCTCGACCAGAATATATTATTATAACATTTATAATAATCACGCTTATCATTAAACACAAATACATTCAGTTCACAGCAGTGTAAAACTTCAGTGATAAAGTACATATATTACTGTGCATGTCATGTAAAAATAAGAGCGAAATAAATAGCTTCCACTGGTTCAGGTCAAAACATTACATATATGGATATTTGAGAAATATGCCAAACTCGTACAATGAGACAAGTTGGAGAGAAGCTAATGCTAAGAGGCTAGTTGCCTAAACATGGACTCACCAATTCTGCTTCTACAGTCATACGCAGCTCAGATGACAAGTACCTGGTACTGGTAATCGGCTCCATAAAGTTGGTGAATAGGCAGTTAGTTTATGATCCCATCAGAACCGCATTACAGGTGAAAACAAGAATCAGAACATACCTCGAGCAGACAACAACCTGCCTCCCCTCGCACCGGAATATAACTAGAGCTAATTGGACTGCGGCGATCACATGACCAGGAAGAGCCCTCGCCCGCAGCACCCAAAGAGCAACAGAGAGCAAGAGGATATAAAACTCCGCTAAAGTGCATGTTTATTTACACTTCCGGACAAAAAAAAACAGCCGCAGCGCGCATAGTGTAAGTGCAGGGTTCGGGTTCGGTGGGGAAAAATTCTAAGGTTCGGCCAGAAACCAAACCCCGTCAAAAAAGCCAATATTCGACCGAATCCGTAACCGAATCCTGGATTTGGTACATCCCTAATTAAAATGAATAGACTTTGGTCATCCCACTCCCTATGGACCAATGGCTCCTATGTGTTTGCTTTAATTGCATTTCTGTATTCAAACTGTTTGATTCTCTGATCTGTTTTTGAGGAATTGACAACTTAGCAAAGTCCTCGGAGGTCCTATATCTACAAATTACATTTAAATTGAATTGAAGTACTTACAATAGAAACAGAAGTAAATATTCAATGTATTTTAGAAAGTTAATGTAAGCCTCGTATCAATATAACGTTGTAATTCTAAACAAGTGACTGGTCGGCATCATTTCTAGATCTCATGAGACTCGTCAACTAAATTGAAATTATCTTTACTCACAGTTATGATTTGAAGTTCTTTTTCTGACAAATGAATGAATAACATTAACATTTTCCTTTCACACTCTTGAAAATATTGAATCCTTTTGTCTTATCAAACAGCTTTGTTGACATGAATCGTTAGGACTCAGCAGTTGTTTGTCATTTGTGCGGTAGTTGACAGTTTCTCTTGCAGCAGTGAAACAAAAATAGGTTTATGGTTGGCAAATTTATTATTGAGCACGCAAAGAAGCTGTGCTGACGTAAGAAATTGCTGTTTGGGAATGGAAAATGGCCCAATTATAGGACGTAAACAGTGGTAAAGCCAGTTTATTTATTCTTTCAAAGTTTTGCCCCAGATGAGATGTAAAAGTTGCTTTGAAAGTAAAATCAGCATTGTTAATCTGAGTAGGTTTGGTTGGCTTTCCAAAGGCATGTCTAAACTATGGTCCGTGAGCAAAATGTGGTCCTGAAAGCAATTTATCTTGGTCAGCAAGCTTTCTGTTGAAAAGGCAGTTATTGACCAAAATGCAGTACTTATATCAATTCAATCTATAACAAGTTCTTCAGATGGCTACTCCACTCCCAGCCTCCACGCCGGATTTTAACCATTTGATTTGGGTGTGTGTGTCTGTGTGTG